CCATGGTTTTAAAATGCGGCTGCCTCAGGCGGGTATGCAGTAGGCTCTGCATCAGAACTGACGGCGTATGCGCTTTTGACCTATGCTGCCGCATATGCACCGCATCAAGCCACATCGTAGCCGCCGCATCATGCCACATGATTTCCAGCCACTTTTGTAGCTTTTTTTGCATCAAATCGAGGGGAAAACAAATTGACGAAAATTTATTTTTCATTCAAATCTTCGATTTGACAATTGTTTAATACTTGGATGTTAATGTGATGCTTTTGATTGTTAATTTGGGGATGTTAGGGTGAATTTGTGATAAAAAATCGGGGGTTTCAGAGGCCGTGAAGAAATCGAGCACTGCTTTACAAAGTCGGTAACTTTTTATTCCTTCTTGTACAATAATACTATAATACTCATTTTTTGGGCAATGTCTTCTTCCCAATCTTCTAGTAATAAGGATCCGACTTGAAAATATACTAAACTAAAAAATTCGAAAGATAGAAATTGTGTGATATGCTTACTATGTGGAAATACTTATATGGGTGGTATTTTTCGACAAAAAGAGCACTTAGCCTAAATTTCTAGGAATGTAAGAGCATGCCCAGAAGCTATAGATGATATAAAAAAAAAGATTAGAAAATATTTGAATAGATTGAAAAAAGATAAACAGAAGAAAAAAATGAAATGAAAAGAATTACTTGACGATGTGCAATTATTTGATGATGATGATATTTCTGAAGTTGCTATGAGTCAAAGGGGTGCTCATACTCCAATCTCAAAAGAGATGGTTATAAATACTGGTGGTGGTGTTGAAAGAAGAGCACCTCACACTAAGGGGCCAATGGATGTTTTTTTCACCCTTAGCCCCAAAATTGTGGTCCAAGAGATAAAGGAAAAAACAAAACAAACCACAATTGAAAATAGATATAAGAAATAAGTGGATTGCAAAGTAGATTTACATGACCGACATTCTTTTTAATACTATAACTCTGAATAGTTTTGCATATATGGTCCAAGCAATTGGGCAATATGGTCCAAGGCTTGTTCCTCCTTCACTATATGAGGTTAGGGAACACTTGTTGAATGATGTTGTATTTGATGTGAATAAAATTTTGATTTATCAGAGAGATCTGATGTATACTTTTTTGTTCCAAATCCATATCTGAGTGTATCCAAAGCCGATCCAAAAAATTATGAACCCTACCTATCTTCGCAATAAGAACTTTGGACTCGGTGTTCAAGCCTTTGGAGGCGTGTTGTGACCAAATCCGCTAATCATGATCAGTGGAACGGGATTTAACATCGCAAAGCATAAAAACCCGTTTTCAACAAGGGATAAAAGTTATATTTTTGATAAAATAATGTTAAATAATTAATCTTTCGTGAGTATTTGGGTAAATTTCCTTATGAAATGAACAAATGGCCCTGAAATAGAAAAGAGGATGGACGATACTGTCAAATGCATCAAACCTAAAAGGCTGTCCATTAAGGTAATTTGACTTTATGTACACACATTCTTTAAAATGGAAACCTTGTAAGTCCTATAGATAACCTTTTTTTTTTTGGGCACGTACCTTACTCCTATGGAAGCATATACTATAAATTTACTTCTTTTGGGGATAAGTATACCTAGGATGATTTTTTTTATCAATAATATTGAAATCCACTTTAGAATCACCAGAGAATTGACAAAAAAAAATTGGAATTTTGAGTTTGCAAAGGCTGATATGATCCTTCAACATAATTGTAAGGAAATTAACAGAAATATACGTTTATTTTCGTCTAATTGGAAAAACAAAAAAAAAAACTCTCAACTTTCATAAACTTCATTCACACTTTTTTTTTTTGGCATTGTTTATCAAAATAATCTTCACAGTAGTCGTATTATTGTGAAGCCTAGTATTACAATACTTTAAGTACGGTAATGACTACCCCATTTTATACGGCATTTTAAATGCCATGATAACTCGAAGTGTGATAACTCGAAGTATTTTAAATGTCAAAACTGAGGAAAAAGGGTGTGGACGAGATTTATGAAAGTTGAGGGTTTTTTTTCCTAATTTGTCAAAAGTTAAGGTATATTTCTGATAATTTCCCTTAATTATAAGACATTATTTTTTCAAACTAATATACAATGCCTATCAGTGTTAGAAAAATCGGCCGATCTAACTGCTAACCGCCCGGTTAGAACGGAACCGGCCAGTTCCAATTTTGGGCGGTTTTGGTGGTTAGCTTTGACAATTATGTTTTACCTCAATCAGTTCGAATCCCGCCGCTAGCAGTGTTTTCTTTTTAAGGGTGCAGTTTCTATAGAACTGAGGCTCTAAACAGTCAAAGTAAAGCGCGCATGCAAATAGTGTTTAGAAATGTAGTTTCAATACTAAAAGCTTCAAAAATACTGTAGATCGAGCAAATCTATGAATTTTTGAAAATATTGAAAATTGATTGTCCAAAAATGCGTTACAAGATGCACTATTTCCAAAACCTGAAATCCATTTTTTTTTCATGTCTATGCATCTTGATGTCGAGATGTTCAATTTGAGGATATTTGGGCATCATAACAACCTCTTCTAGTGAATTTTTGAGGTGGGCTCTAATTTGATTGTTTAGAGCCTCAACTCTCTATAAACTTTTTCCATTAATAAATGACCAATTTCTTATTGAGAACCTAATTTCTCAAGGCTTGAAGTTAAAATACAGAATAGTGTGTCTTTGAATTGTTCACTCTTCTAATGGTCTTTGTGCATGATTAAGTAATGGAACACGGTTTCTAGGAGTCCACAGACTCACATGTAGAAATGCGGGCCCCTTAATGATTTATTTTTTTAATAGAATTTGATTTTATTTTTTAGGCAATATAAAATATTTAACATGGAGATATTATTAATTTGTAAAAATAAATAAATTTTAAAAAGTAAATTTTTTTAAAAAAATATTTAAACCATTGATTTTACTTTTTATTTGGAGGGCTACTATTTACGGGAAAACCTAATTTTGGTGGACGGTGAACATCGTAACAAGTGCGGGATTGGATGCACCAAACAAGTTTCCTTAAGTAATTTCTAAGTCTTGTAAATCAGCCTCTTTTTTACGTTCTCATGTGGTAAGATACTATGTTTCCACTACTCTTGTTTCTACCCACCTAAAATCGAAAAAAACAAGAAGGGTTAGTGGGCAAGTTAAAATCATGAGGAACAGTTCAAATTGGGTAGTGCTATTACTAGTTGCTACAACGCGGTTTTCTTACCGTATAAATACTAAAAGGGTCGTTTCAGAATTTGAAAATTTATTACATGAAAATAGATTAGACTCAACATTTTTATTGTTTGGTACACTTTAATAATAAGAAAAAAAGATTACCCAAGATTTCTTCAAAAATTATGAAATCGGGAGAAATCTTTCGAGTCTCTCTGTAATTTTAGCTACCCAGAAATCCCATGATTCACTTCCTAATAAACAACAACAATTCAATTAGCGCGTTTCTACAACCAATAACTGCCTTTGCAAACCGAATCACCCATATATTTAAACCGCACATCTCTGCCACCAATAGCTCTTTTTGTGAATCGAATCGTACATATATTTAAACTATTGTTCCAAAAAATAAACGGATTTGGGTTCTCTGTTAAGATCAATTTGTTATTTTTTTAGCTTTATTTTTTCCTTTTTTGCTGCTATGCTGATAAATTCAAAATATCTTCAAATCAGTCTGCTTGAGTTGTTTTTTTTTTTTTTTTCAGAACTTTTTTAAATTAATTTACCTCTTCAATCTCCTCCAATGCCCAACATAATTTTTTTTCCAATACATCCCATTTAGTCATAAAGCCTTCTAGGTTACTAGCTAAATTTCTCTAAACTTTTTTTTTTCTTTTGAATTTGCTCATAGAAGTTTTCTGAAGAGAGATGATCGAAAGGCTTTAGCACAAGACAAAAAAATATAAAAAATATGATGGTTTATCATAATAAAAGTATGTTATTCCAAAGTGTTAACATCTTGAAAACATGTGATTTTATGTCAAGACGCAAAGGCATACAAAAGGTGTGGCTAATTTTTATGCCTGATGCAATTATAAAGTTTAAGCTACATACTAATAGGGATTGTACGCTCAACCATATTTGGGGTATAAAGCCAAAAAAAAAAAAAAATTATTGATAATGCATTTTCCATATTTTTTCTAGACATAGCCAAACATTAACAAATGTATTTCCTATGTTGCACCTAAATACTTCCCCAGGTTGCATCTAAATACTACCCAAACAATGACAATCCATTTGCAGGTAATATATTACATTGTAATGTATTATCCCAATAATATATTTCACAGAAAATATATTTCCAGGTATCCAAACAGCTGCTAATAAGACGCTCAGTTCCATGTCAACACTTGAAAATATATTTTAAAGCTATCATAAAGTTTTTCAGTATTTAAACCATATTTCTCGACATTATTTGAAGATGCGTGGGCCTCGGCTCTATATAAACCGCGCCTTTAAAAAATATCCAAGATATTCTTGTTGAAAATATGAAATCCTGAAAAAGTAGGAGTACCTCAAAGATTTGAGTGTGTCCATATTACAAGAAGACATCCAGTTACTCTGAGTTCCACACCCAAAATAAAAATGTTTATGAAAAACTGTTTTGAATTAAAATTGGAACAAGAAAATTTTATGCACATTAGCAGGGAAAAATTCCAAAAATAATATTCCAGTGATTTTTGAAGCAGTTTCACCATTTTCATGATATTTCTCTTCGTAACTTTTAGGAACCAAGATATACCGAACATTTTAAAGCTAGTAAAATAAATTTAGAAATTTGGAACTTTTACCTGGCCGAGAGAAAGAAATCTCAGCCTTTCGAAGTTGGGGCAGTAGGGTTCGAACCTTGGACGTCGTGGTCCGGTCTTTATAAGTTCGGCTTCCCACTCTGTGGGAGGAGAGAGAGCAAATGGAGCAGCGCTGCAACTTCTGGCTTTCCAAGAAGAGGCGGTTTTGTGCAAACGAGCCCCTCAAGAATTCAGAGTACTCCCTCTCTCGACATCGATCTCGACAAATACTGTCTTTATCTCTCTCTCTCTCTCTCTCTCTCTCTCTCTCTCTCTCTCTCACTCTCTCTCACTCTCTCTCTCTCTCTCTCTTTGCAGTCACAGTCCCTTATCTATTTCTCGAACAAAATGCCGTACCCTCTCGTTCTAACATTTAGTTCTTCTTGTGTAGGTTTTGTGGAAACCACAAGCCTGGATCAGAGGAAAGCAGGATTCCTTGCCCCATCGACCCTTCCCAGTTATATGTTTTCTTCATCCACTCCGTCATTCTAAATGATAATATGCATCTTATTAGGGTTTACTGTTTTCTAAATTTCTCGTGGTATTGGAAAATACAATGCATGATTTCCTTGATCTCCTCCTCCCTCTTCTGCTGAAAGCAAAATCATGGTTTACTATTTTTGAAGGATGAAGAAATTTGAATTTTCAGTTTATCAATTTGATTTCCTTGTTCTTTGTTCCATGGTTTGGGGTAGTATATGTATCTGGTCAAATGCATGTAACCTCTGGACAAATTACAAATTAAAAGATATTGCTCGACTTGCGTTAACTGATTGTTCCATAAATGGGTAAATAGAAACCATGTATTTATTTAGAAAATGTCATTTAACGTGGTTTATGCTGATAATCTTTTGTGACGCATTGTATCATCAAGGACTCTCAATTGATATCCTGGATATATTATTTGTTTGCAACATTTGATGTAGTTTGAAAATGCACCTTATATATATGGGTCGGCTTTTTATGGGCCTCCATAAACACACATTCTCTATGCATCTAGGAACCAACATTAGTCCAATCTTAGTCTTTTTATGGGCCTCCATAAACACACATTCTCTATGCATCTAGGGACCAACATTAATTCAATCTTAGTCAAATGAATGGCAATGAGTGGATAATAATGTCACACTTTAATTATGACAATGTTGAAAAAAGTGCAAGATGCCTCCTAGGTGGCCAAATGCGGCTGCCTGCCTAGGTGTGAATTATTGTCGGTGCCTACTAAAGTACCCCACACATATGTATATGCATATATATATACTCTTGGAGCACAAATATATACATATGTATATGTATATTTATGCATATATGTATCCCAAATATACATATATATGACTGGCATACATTGAAATCATATTTCATCATTGGTGTAAATCAAACCATAAAGAAAGGAAAACAAACCATCTATTTTATTGATCGAAACGGGAAATGAAGTTTACATGCCAAGCTTCATAGTTTCATTGGTCAAATTACGAAACTCTAAGTAGAAACCAAAAAATCTAACTTCATCCTTAAATCGCAAGCTATTTATAGTCCAATGTTACGATCTCCAGGAGATGGTTGTCCAAAATTACCGTCATCAGTCTCCCTTGGTTAGAGAGAACTTGTCCTAAAATTTTGATCGGTTGAGAGCCTTCTCCATACTTCTTCATCAATTTGCTTCATGTCCTCTTTTGAGATCCACGAATTCTTCGCTTCAAGTTTATCGTTCCACTAATCAAGTACTGGTTACATGATCCATGCTGCTGATGATGAACCTAACATCTAGAGCCTCTTGAATGACATCAACAACTCACTTAAGCAACTGAGCTTCCCACTCTGCATCTCCTATAGCACCAAACTCTCCATTGTACTTATAAGGGTCGAAAACATTAAAGATAGGGGATATGCGATAAACCTATGGATGCTCGACCTTGTAAACATTTTTGCCTATCATTTGGAGCACTCAACAGGGACCAATCTTATACTTCAAATTATAATAGGTGTACCTCAAAAATCTATCATAAAAGTTGTTTTGATGTTGGAAAACCCCCTAATTGATTATCTTGACTTCGAGATGTATGAATATTAAAAGAAAAAAAAGATTCCGAGTTTTAAATATAATGCATCTTGCAACACATTATCTAGACTGTCCATTTTCAAGTTTTTAAGCGTTTATTGATCTACTTGATTTGAACCATTTTTGGAGTTTAAGATTTTATAATTATAGATGATAATAGATTCTCAAGCCATCCTAAATTTTTTGATACCAAAGTAATATTTATGATAAAATTTAGAGGTGCGCCTTAATTTGCTTGTTTAGTATTGCAACCTTATACAAACCAAACCCTACATATACATATGAGGTGTCTTTCTCCAAAGAGGTGAAAGGACAGTCCCCCATGGAACGAGGGTGCCCTTGACCATGGGTGGTTGAGGCACACCCCTACCTTGGCACTCCCTCAGGCTCCTGGGACAGCCGCATTGGCCTAGGTGGAGCACTTAGGTACCCACCAACCTCTATCCTACCACCTTGGCGCTTTGCTGGCCACTTTTTTTACCTTAATTGTGACCTGACAAAAATTGGCGCTAGTATGTAATATTGTTGTTGGAAAACTGCCAGTTGTGAATAAAGATTGGATGGCTTCCTATCTCTAGATGCATACGAAATGTATGTGTACGAGGACGTGTATAAAAGTTTACTATGGATATCATATAATTAAACATCTGATTAAGGTGAGTGCTAGAGGTATATTTAATGGGAAACCCTGAGAGTAAAATAAGTACTTCTAAGTTTTGATCCCCTCTAGTCATGTTGATTTAGGCCGATGATTGACGGTTAATTGGATGCAATTAAGAGGAATCCTCTTTTTCTGACCTAGTTAGAATAAGATAATCCAAGCTTGGATAAAGGACAGAGCATTCCCCTCAGTTATGTATTGTGTAACTTCTTTTTTTTTGTTTGTGATCATTAACTAGATCCAAATCTAAACTTTGGTTAGTTGGTTTTAGTTTTTTCATATGGTTTGATTTGTTTGCAGCTCTATACTTCCAGAAAATTTGGATGCGCACGTTAAAAAGTGCCCATTGCATAAGCAGGTAGAAGCACTAAAGATGCAATCATTTTACAAAAAGGGTATTAACAGTGGAAGAGATGTTCCTTTTGTTGATAGATCAATAACCCCTCATATAGAAGTAGCCGATACCATTGCTTCAAGGACCAGCGAAATGCTTGGATGTGCGAAATGCTCTGAGAGTGCCCTTTATGCGAAGGACTGTCCTGAGTCACCAAATGTCAGTTCAGAGATGAAGAAAAAGGAAATATATGAAATGTCTGAACAAGAATTCCTTTCACTTCTGAATAAAATTACATCAATCCATAGTTCCATTGCTTCAAATATAGAAGACTCATACATCGTACCGGAATCTTGCAGTTGCTGGTTGAGCAAACAACTTGACAGGTAAATTGTATGACCTTCAAAAGGCATCCAAATGCATCTTGTTGAGTGCAAATGAAAATTTATTCAATGAATGATGATTGACTTTGTAGTTCTATTTGAACAAAAAAAAAAACTGCTTTGCATTCTTATATCCTTTTTCTTAGAGGGTATGATGGATCCCTCAACGGCACCTGATCACAATCTCTTATTATCCCAAGTATATTGCAGGCAATTGCCCTACCAAGAAAAGCATGTTTTTCAACAGGCGTCAATCCTTGGGAATTTGGAAAAATTTGGAATTTTACAAAGGCCAAAGGTTACAGCTTCTGTTTTCCCAGATCATGGAACAAGGGAAAGTTTAAACTATGATGATTTGTTTGAAGGGAGGGATGAAGCTCTTGCAGTTGTTGAATTTGGGGCTGGGAGAGGATATCTGACGCACATGCTAACAGATTGTTATGGGATTACTAAAGTTGTCTTAATAGAACGCAGGTCCTACAAGCTAAAGGTTATCCCAGTGTTACAGTGAAGCTTGATTGTGTTTCTTTTAAGCATATTTCTGGAGTATCTTATGAGAATTGCATTTCTTTTAGTTTATCTGATTTTTCAGGTTCATTGATTTATTACTCGTTTCTTTTGATCGTTGGAGTACTTCTCAAAAGAATTCTATTGAGCAGTGTCATGATTTAGAACTTGTTTTTCTTTTCATTCCTTTCCATGTAGCGTTTTGATCTTTGTGAAAATGGAAACACATCTAATCCCTAGCTCACTTGATTTGGGAGTTACCTCTTGAGGTTGACTAGTTTTGCTATATGAATGTTGCCCCCAGGCTGATCGGAGTTTGAGACAGAAACAGCACGTGACTTTAGATCGTTTGAGAATTGACAGTAAGTTGTCTATAACCTAACACTGCAATGCAATATACATATTTCTATAGAGAGCATTGTATTCTTTTTTACAGATGAACTGAATTATGTCTGTGTATAAACTAGCTCTTTTTTATGTCACCTGTCACTTCTTATTCGATAATAATGCTGATCTGTCAGTTTTGCTTCTGAATGTTTTAATTATAGAATCCATTTAGTCTTATTTATGACATGAAAAATCCATTTAGTCTTATTCATGCCTCTTTCATGTCATAGTAGTAGAATTGATCCTCTCTCTATAACTGGTGATGTTCGACTCTTGTATTTAAGCTTATTGGTGATTTCAGTCCTTGCACTTTTCAGGTTTAATTTGCAGGACTGAAAATTGAAAAAACTTAATGCTAGTTTCAGCAGTCCTTTTTTTTCTACTATAACCAGGTCACTTATGACCGAATGCTTTGTCCATGGGTTGCCTTGGTCCACCCTCAAATTGCCCCAGCATGTTGAGGGTTCATTATACAATTGTGGTGTAATAGTGCTAGAGGACCCTGTGCTTGACGGGCCCGGCATATGGGCCTTGAGTTCCCTACCTATCATCATCATCATCAAAGCTTTTTTCCAATTAATTTGTTGAGTTCCCTAGCTATGATTACAATTAAACTAATGGAGGCAATTCTCAATGGGAGATCATGATGTTATATACATATTTTCCTGTATAACATTTTTCAGGAATATGACATGTTTGTCAATTGATTTAATTTGTACACAGACTAGACATTTGTTACATATTTTCTCATGATGATTCGTTTGGTTCCAACATATTTAACATGATAAGCAGACATTATTTAGCATTACATGTACACATATATTCATTGAATACTGTCAGATTACATCTCTTTTGCATCTAATGTCTAACTTAACCATTGCAGTTGAGGATTTGGACTTGAATGCTGTGGAGACTTTGAAGGGTGTTTCTTACCTGGCAATAGGGAAACATTTATGTGGTCCTGCCACAGGTTGGCACATTCAGTTTGTCCCCCAATATTTAACTTGGGAATGCATATGATGATAACTTTCTCACATTATTGGCTTTGGTAATTCATTGTATTCTCTATTTTATATTTAAATTGTGCTTGCAGACTTTACCTTAAGGTGTTCCCTTGCTCAGCAACATAACAGACTAGGAGACAATTGCAGCCTGAGAGGTGTTGCCGTTGCAACATGCTGTCATCATCTTTGCCAATGGAAATCTTACATAAGTAATAACTTGTTCTTCTGTATCCAAATATCTTTGATCCTTTACAACCCAGTTCTTGTATCTGTTGCATCTATCTTGTGAAAAATATACACATATAGAGTTAGGATTCTATGAAATCATAGGATCATTGCTCACACAAGCACATGCATGGACACATAATGTAGGAAATATATGAATGATCATTTAGATCATTATTATCATCATCATCATCGTTATCCAAATCTTATCCCAGTTATTTGGGGTTGGCTATATGAATCATGTTTATCTATTCTTCTCTATCAAGGGTCATACCCTCAGTAAGACCATAAGTCGTTATTTCTTCTCGGACTACTTCTATCCATGTCCTTTTAGGCCTTCCTCTTGCCCTTATAAAATAACATAGGTTCAAGATTCATGATAAGATGTGGCAAAGTTTTATGTTGGATGCCTACCTAATACAACCCACTTCCTTTAACCAGGCTTGGGATGGGTTAGGGAAAAGTTTAAGGTCCTCACCCTTATTAGATCAATATTTAGGTCATTGTTAAATTATAATATAATTTATTGCGTATAGTTCACAGTTGCTTCACTTCATGGCTGGTTCTTCCTTTTTTCTTTTTCTTTTTTCTTTTCTTTTTAACTTTCTTGAAAGATTCATTTGTTTCTTGTATTATTTTTGTGAAGATAGTTCCTTTAGGAACTCTGTTCTTTTGGACAGTTGGCTGGCAAATAATACAGAAGAAAAAGGTTGTGCTCTGGTAGTTAATCATTGTCCAGCTGCTAGCCAAGCTTTTGGAAGAACCTTCTTACAAGTGTTACTTTCTTCATTGGTCTGATACAGATCAAGGATTTCTATTTAGTATGGGGATATCCAAAGAAGATTTCCATGCAATTACATGGTTCACCAGCTGGGCAGTAGATGCGGACCACCAATTTGATCTCTCGGAAGCAACTGATCAGAGCTTGCTTTTCAACACATGGTAGTTTATTACTCTTTCTTTATGAAAATGAGTTCAAATTTCCAATTTGCTCCTTTATATTATTGAAGTACTCTTGTTGCCACCTGCAGTTTTAGAAAGTGCCTGGTTGCCATGCTTTCTTGGGATGTGTTTGAAACAGCTTAATATGTTGCAAGAGCACAGTTGCTGATTTGAAAACTAGTTGTTCCATGTTTTATGAAATACAACACTCACAATTTCATGTGAGAGCATGATACCTAATACTAGCACTACTAAGATTTTTATATCGTGTTTTTGCATATTTCAGATAATGGCACTTAGGTCACTTCTTAACTGTGAATTCTTAAGAATAACAGTGCAACAGTGTGCGTCTCTCTGTTTCATGATAGTTCTTATTTTAAGCAACAAGGTCTTCAAAAAACCAAGATTTTTTTATTGTGTTTTTGCATATTTCAGATAATGGCACTTAGGTCAAATGTTAACTGTGAATTCTGAAGAATAACAGTGCAACAGTGTGCGTCTCTCTGTTTCACGATAGTGTTCTTGTTTTAAGCAACAATGTGTTCAAAAAACCATTTGTAAGGTGCCGAACATAGATATATGCTTTCTTCGAAATAAATTAGTTCCTCTTTTAACAAATATGTATGTTTCCTGATAAAAATCAGTGTCCCTTCCATATGTTTTAAGAAATCAATAAAGCTCGATCATCTATGTTACAAGGATATGCTTAATGAGTATTAGTGTCAAGCGTGAATATGCATGTCAAAAATACCTGGCCATCTTTTATATTCTCTTTATTTATTTTGGCAGTGATGATGGGGGACAGCTTGGAGTTGAAGAGATTTTAAAAAATATGAAACCGGTCGAGAGAGCAAAGTTAGGGTTCATGTGTAAAGATATCATCGATATTGGGAGGCTTATGTGGATTAGAGAAAATGGGTTTGCATCTCACCTTGTAAAATATGTCCCTTACAATGTATCTCCTGAGAATCATTTACTTGTTGCAAAGCCTACTAAGCAATCTACATTTTTGGACCTTCCTCGATTGTTGATTTAACTTCAATTGCATTTATAGGTACTTTAGCAGTTGAATTTTCCTTTGGATGATAAAAGTGCAAAATATATCCATGGAAGGTCTTTTTCATCAACTTATATCCACCTTATAGCTTCCCATGTAAGGGCCCTTCTGTGAGAGAGAGAGAGATGGAACTGAGCAAAGTGTACAGCTATTTCTGGATAGCAATGCCATATCCTACTTCCAAAGTCATAGTTTCATCTTGTTGCAATTTTTATTTCATCTTGTTGCAATTTTTATCTGTTATATCATATCAAATATTGTAAATATTAATCTTTCATTTTGGGCCCCTTTTATCAAATCCCATGCTTTTTAAAATATTGTTTTATATTCTATATATTTTTAATACTTCTCTAAAAAAAATAAATGTAGACATGCCCAATAATTTAGAAAATGCTTTTGAAGCCAACATTTTTTTCTGTCATGGTAACAAAGTTGGCCATGCGTTTCTTTTCTTTGTTCGTTTTGGGTGAATGTGCTTATTTTCCTTCATGTGCGACTTGGGAATGCTGGAATTCTACCATTTGAGTAGGGGTGGCAAACTGGACCCAAATCCAGACCCCAAATGTATTCGAGTCTAGGTTTTGAACTTGGACCTGACCCATCGGATCTAAAAGTTGGATCCATACCTGTACCTGACGGGTCCCAAATCCATCCTATCGGGCCTTGGGTCTAGTCGGGTCCATTGCCACCCTCACTATGAGCTTTTTTTTTTTTTTTTTTTGGCCTTTTCGTTGTCATCCTATACCCAAATTATTGGCAACAAAGTCATCCCACTATTATATTTTAAACCGTTTTATTTGTCATTTAATAGCTAAAGATGATTATGAGTTCTTATTGTATATGATTCATAATACACCCACACGAATAGAGCTCGAAGTATTTTATCTTCAACAGTTTACACGTACGGGTTGCATCCAACCGAACCCGGACCAGACCCGCCGGGTCCAAATGTTGGACCCATATCCGGATCCATTCAGGTATACTCAATGGGTCCCAGGTCGGGTTCAGGCCCATTACCACCCTTATAATGAAGAGCCTACAAAAACATTTTTAAATTGTCTGCAAACCCCAACGTTAAATTAACAAATAAATTGAAGCATTCAAAAACATTTCTGAAGACCCACCTCAAAATCCAAAATGAAAGTGGAATTGTGGATCTATACACACAATAAAACTCAAATAAAACACAAACGACAAATCCAGAGGCCGGTGAAGACTGCATAAGGCTGTAAAGAATTGAACACATTCAACTGCTCAACATAAGGCTGTAAAGAATTGAACACATTCAGGGAAGCTTTCTGTGAAACTCGAAATAAGTTCAGAACGTATTGGCCGTCCAAATGCAAGGCGATGCTGATGTTCTTTTATCAAGGAAACGACATCTCTTTGGTAATCCAATCCTCCCAAATCACCTGCAATTTATAAAGATCCTCAGGAATCAGACCATGCAATCAGCCAGATAGCCTCAAAGAATAATTACGATAAGAGTCATTCTTCTTCAATTTACAACAAAAGGAAAGAGGGCAAAGCTTACCCAATTCTATTTCATGGGTCTCATCATCTACATCACCCTCATCTTCTTCGATCATTCCACTCCCCAACTCACGAGCTGCCAGTGCGTATCTCTCCAAAAATTCTTCCTCTGTTTCTTCATGCTCATCCTCTTCAGAATCCTAAAATAACCAAACCAATAATAATCCATTGGGCAATTGACCACAAGCGTATAAGCTTCCAGTCTTCCAAATGTTTTAACATTGTCAATGTAATCACTTTGGCGGGGGGAAGATAGACTTACCTCCTCAATCTCATCATCACTTTCATTTTCATCAACATCTTCCATACCATCATCCTCATCTTCATCCTGGAGTTCTTTCAGATGAATAGCTGCCTCCAGAAGAGACTCGAAGCACTCTCGTGCAGCTTCTAGAGCCCAGCCAGATGCCAATCCCACAAGATGTTTCACTAACTTTGTCAATGTGATTACTGCAATAAAAAGTTCTTAACAGTTACCTATAAGGATCAGAAAATGAATGATTAGAAAATGGATCCTTGTGACTTTCAGTTTAGAAGTCATATCCATCACTTTTCCAAAGGCGAGAGGAAAAAATTGCTCTATTCAAACACACTCAAAATGTCAAGATTTTACTTGAAACAAGAAGATACGCCAGAACCTTTAACAACAAACATATCTAAACAATGGCCATGTGTTTTATCCAAAATATCAGTACCTTATTGCCTAAACCAGTTGCTAAACTCAAGGCTCTCTTGAGGGATTTACATTCATTTCCTAAGGAGCCCCAGAAAAAACAAAAAAAATCCCATCTTTTACTTATCCACATTTTCCTATTTGAACTAATACAGCTGCAGCTAACATATATTACTTTCTCAAAAACTTGGTGGTGACTTGTTCACTTCTTTAAGTGGTTAGCTTGCAGGTGCCTTGTTCACAATTGTTTGCTCACAAGGCAATGTGTCACTTGTTCTGTAAGTATCAAAAGCAAATTGTCCAGAAGCAACTACTCTTCTAATTCGTTCTCATGGATCAAAATTTTAACCAAATATAAATTTTAAACCTTTGTGAGTTGAAAGGATACGATAGCCAACACCATAAGCGAGCAACCAAATCCCATTATTCCAAACAATTCAAATTTTCTGTTTTGTAATTGAAGAAAAAAATATTACTTAGAAGTTCACCAGAATTTCATATATATCCAAACATCTGTTTTAGCCCCAGATAATACAATGGCAAAACTCTACTGTTTAAAACCCAAGGTTTCCTGTATATCATGTGTCCAACATGGATAAAGCACTTTTTAACACCTTCCTTTATACATATATACATACTAAAATGCACCATCCTATTGGTGATTTTAGAAACCTTCACTCCAAAATTTTTAACAACAGTTTGCCCTTATATTAGTTAATATTACGTTGGTGTTTTCCTTTTCATCAAATAAGTACAGGCATTGAGGGTAATTATGAATGAATACAAAATTCAAAGCCCCCACATTGGATCATTGGGATCGTGTGAATTTTACTTCTTTTTCTATGAATCTGATACATCTTAATTTGAGGTGTACATCTCACTATCAACAACCCAAAAATAAATAATAAACAATTATCAAGGGTAATTTCACCAAAATCCCCCGAAATATTTGTAGGAGTATTTAGGTCATTTTTACTGTTTGAATTATTTTTGATCAAGTGTTTTTAGGTGCATCTTTCTAAGGCACATACACCCTCAAAATTTCAGATAAATCTCCTAAATAAAAATAAAAATAATTTTTTTTCAAAATTGAACGTTTGGAGCATGCACAAGTACATCCAATGCCCTCCACTGGTTTTATAAAAAGGAAAACATAAGGGTAATTTTAATTAATATAAGGGCAATAGGTTGTCAAAAGTTTTGGATTAGAGGTTTCTAAAATCACCTTTCAGAATTAGGATGTGTGTGTGTATAAAAGATGCACAAGAGGAATCTTTATACCCGATTTCAAACTAAAGCAAAGCAGCCAAACTCACCAGCCAACTTTATCTCGGAGTCAGATGAAAGACCAGGCTCGAAAGAACGAGCAGAAATACACACCAATCCATGCATCCACACAGTGAAACCTTCATTCTCATCCTGCACCAAAACCTTCTCTATATAATCAGGGCAGCACATATAACAAGATGCCACAACCAGCAAAAGAGGCTTCCACAAAGCCACTGGCTTGCTTCGAATGTCAAGAAAACGTGAAAAAGCGGCTTTACAAAAAGCAATAGCTAATGCCTGCTTAGTTCCTTCCGTTTCAAATGAGAACCTCGGTAAATGAAGCAAAACATGTGCACAGGAGCAAGCTCTCCATGTTGCAGCAGGGTATGCTTCCATGGCCTCGCTAATAAACATACCAAAGCCTTCAATTATTGAACGCTTGGAAACAGGAGGTGCAGGTGGGGGCGGCAACTCTCGAATTAAGAATCCATTTATTCCACATCTTATATGCAAATGAACAGCTTCTTTTATGGCATCAAAGATGGACATGTCCTCCTCGTCTTCCCATGCATGCCAATCAGCAATCAGGTCAGCCCAGATCACTAAGAGCTCAAAAATTTTTAACTCTACAACTGCGGTCACCTCTGTAGTATACTTCAGGATGGACTTAAGTAATAGTGATATGTCTTCCATGCATGATGATGGGGGTGAAATACTATAGTCTGCATGTTCCTGAAGCCAAAAATTCAAGACTAGTTATTTTGCCAAGGGTACATGGGAAAAAAAAGGGTCAAAATTAGGTAATATAATCATATAAACTGTCCACACATTAAACCATGGGAATAACAAGTATTCAGAAATTGAAAACTACTCGGCAAATTTAGGCAAAATAGGAGACACATATGCCCAAGTCAAATTGTTGATTGCTACCAACAGACACTATTGATTATGAAAGAAGCAGTGTTCGATTGATATCAGCAGACATTAATGATCACAAGGAGCAAACATTCTATATGTACTTAATTAAAAAAAAAAGGAGAAAATGATCTACATGTAAATGTGCTTTAACACTTCTTTCATGGGATAGCAAAGTTATTTTTCATTTTGTTCATGCATGTGTGTGCATTTGGGAGATCTTATAGGTGTGGCTCCAAAAGGTGATAAGATGAGAAAGTAGACTTAGGTGGGCTAGCCATGTGTAGCACAGACCCAATACAACACCTGTTAGGAAGTGCGAGTTGGTTCATGTGGAAGGCTCAAAAAAGACAAGGGGTATATGCCCAAAAGAACATGGTTGGAAATAGTAAGAAAAGATATGGCGACTTATGGCCTCACTAAGGTATGGCCCTTGATAGAGCAAAATGGCAGACTAGGATCCGCGTAGCCGACCCTAAATAGTTGGGAAAAGGCTCAAATGATGACAATAACATGTCTTTGTCCGTGTGTGTGTGTGTGTATGAGAGAGAGAGTGAGGTTTATAGAATTATGAAGTAATATCAAGAATATGGATATGGGTAGCTCTAGCTGTTGGGGATATAGAGATGGGAATAATGGGATAAAAGTGCTGAAAAGAATATGATTTGAGAGAATCTATAATGAATAATGTGCTTTGATCACATCTATAGAAGGATGGAAAGAATAAGAGGAAACAGTGAGAAATGGTCACAAGATCAAAATAGTACCTGTACAGCAAGCAACCAAGCCTCCTGCAGCAGAGCTGAAAACATGCCTGCAATGGTTGAACAGCCAGACCTCCACTCCTTGCATAACTTACTGTCCTTTTCATCCGGTATCGCACTGTCCCAAACATGAGCTAGTGCTGCTAGCGCCGCAAATCCCAGCTCTACCACCTTGTTTAACAAACAAAACAGCAAACATTTATGATGCAACCAGCAAAAGGCAAACCAACAGTTCATAATGAAGCATTTTCCATATACAATGGCTATTTATACCTTTCTGGTCCCTGTTCAAAATAATGACCAATCCCAATGTTTCATACTCCCAGATGTTCCATTGGGCAGTTTGTCATCAGATTATGGACAGGAATCAAATCCCTAGTCACCTATACATGTCTTGTGATGCAATTCGTATCATCTCTCTCTCTCTCTCTCTCTCTCACACACACACACACACAAGAATAAAAAACTGATAAGGGAAAGATACACATTATGATAAGTAAATAAACTAAAGAGCTGGAAAATGAAATTGTAAAACTCATAAACTTTAGAAATGCCCGAATAGGAAAATGCATAATCAAAGAAACGGAGACAGAGAGAGAGAGAAGCTTATCAAAATAGGAAACAAAGAAAAAGGAAAGGAAAAGTCTGGAGACAATGACGAGAGAATTAAAGGTGGAAAAGATGGATTACTTTGCCCTTCTATTGCATCTGCAGAAATTACTATTGGCTTAGACACAAAATTCCGAAGGATTACAGCAATTTTTCAGAAATGCCACAAATTAGACTGAGATACAATACAACAATAATCATGCTTAAGAGTAATGTTAATCGAGCTCTAACGTCAAGAGTAAACTTTATGTAAATAAGTTACCTGTGACCACGGAACTGGAACACGGGGAACATGCTTTAAAATGGCGCCTGTTATGGCTGATAAAATGGCTGGGACATAAATAGCAACCTTCTCATCACCTACTTCTACTACAGTTTTTAAAAGTTGAAACAAAAGCGAGGCCTCATTTTCTTCTTTGTCACCAATCCCATTGACAATAACTTGCAGAAGGGGAAACCATTCTGGGGGCTCATAATCATTCTGCAGAAGGATCGATATCAGATCATGCATGTTGAGAAAAGGAGAATGTACGTGATTTGGTATTCGCACCTCTAGCAATTGGGCAATGGCTCCTGCAGCAGAAGCACGGACTGGGTAACAAGACAACTCCTCAAGGTCGGGCATGATTAGAGCCTTCAATAATGCATTATAGACATCAGCGCTTATTTCCTGCTCACAATAGACCCAGTATTTAAGACAAATCGGCACAGACTTGCACACAATAACAAGAAGAATTGTACCAAACCACTAAACCTGCCCACTGTAATAAATAAAAATCCATTCTAATGGAACATTTGGTAGTATGAAAAAAAATAAAAAAAAACAAAATAAAAAAAACTCAACCCATGTCTCGTATGTCTTGGATGCAATTCGCATCATGCGTGAGTACACAAGGATGAAAAACATGGGCCAAGAACCATGCACCCACATATGCATACACTCTTGCCCAAATGTATGTTCATGTGATGGAGATACATCTTGCCCTATAAAAATCATGCAGATGTGTACGTGAAGACATGAATCATACACATGGGCCCAGATACTCGCGTGCATGGTTATACAAGGACGCATACATGTAAAAGACAGCATGTAAAATCTGTATGCTCATGCGCATGGATGCCCACATGCATGTGCAGGTAGACATCTGCACCTATATAGTATGTACTCCTACACAGCTATCTAGTGTATACAACAACTACATTTTAGTGGATGTGGATGTGAATGTGCACACGAATAGAAAAACACCAACACAAAATAGTGCACATAAACATGTTCAGAAAACCACACAAGCACACACAAATGAATGAATGCAAACAAGCTGCGTAATGTTTTAAAAAAAAGAAGGAATAGCCATCCATTTAGAAAATATGCTACCATTATCAACAAACTTACCACGAACATACTATAATGGAATCAATAGATCATATATTATTCATCGGTTTCAGATATTTAGGAGTCATACCAAATAGCACATATATTCAAATGGATTGCATAGGTCAATTTTGTGAAGAAACTATAGTTTCAAAAAAAAAATTGTGAAGAAACCAGATTGCAACCTTGCAATACATTGGTATCTCAACACTCTAATTACTTTTGCGTACTAATGACATATCCAACAAAGGTATCAAAGAAGTGAACGCTCTAATAAAATATCCAAGGCTTTTTAGTGCATGTCAAATATGCATGTATATCTTCGGATGCTGTCTGAAGTAAATAGAAGAGGTTGCTTAAACTTACAGGGGGAAGACAAGACACAAGCTCACCAATTAACCAATTTGCAGCAGCAATCAAGAATGGAGAACACCCTTCAAGCCCATAAAGTGGTAGTACCCTACTTTTGACTAGTGTCTTTGTGTACTCAGGATCTCGCTCTTTCAGAAACTGTAAGAGCCCAACAATAGATAATGATATAGCCGAAAGAGTAAGTTAATCATAAAATAGAAGGATCTAGTTATTAAGATTTACGAGACAAACAATTTTAAACATACATCTTGGAGGCCGCCATATGCCATTAAAACCCCATAATAGCTGCTACATGGCAATGATAAAGATAGTTAATAAATGCCTGGGAGAGTCTAAACAACATTGAAAAACCAGAAAATCTGCCTAATACTGATCTGCCAATACTAAAATTGAAACCAAGGGCGCCTTTTCTAAAGAGAAGCCACATACCCATCATCTCAAAACTGGAAACGACTTAAAAGGGTGTCATCTGTTGCATTATATACATTTATCAGCCAATTTATGTTTCAAAAAATAAAGATATTAGGATAAGAACACACACGTGTGTGTGCTCATGCATACACGCACTCACAAACATACACGCACACCATGCACATACCCATATATAAGAAAAGTTAAGGAAGATGACAATCTTTTGGCCGAGTGTGAATGTGCTACCTTCTCCAAGAAACAGCTGCCCAAAGGCAGCAATATGCAACTTGTGATGTCGTACATGCATAACCATCAATAGGCATGCATTTTACTGCAGTCCAAGTGCCCGTGTCTTTTACAGAAGTCTTAAGTTACAAGCAACAAGAGCATCCATGATATTTCAGCCCTTTATTCAAACCAAATCATACCGATAATTATCCTTGAGAGACAAAGTAAGATGAATATGTATGTTCACCGTTCATCATATGTTTCATAACACAAAAACCATAGAAGTTTCTTTTTCAGAAAATGTCAAATTTGCTTATACACTTACTCATGTGATGCACTAGAGGATCTGAAATCCACATCTGAGGGAACAGTAAACTTGGACAAAAATGGAATCACCAACATTTCACCCACAGAGCAAGACCTTTCTTTATCTTTGCCAGATTTCTTACCCTTCTTGCGCTTAGTTAACCTTGTAGAAGAATCTACCGTTGAAGGACCCTGAAAGCACAAAAATAAAACAAAATAAAATAATAAAGAATCGCTCCCTTCACAAAGAGCCACTGGTTTTCACATTTTAATCACTATAGATGTCCAAAGAGTATAACCTTTGACAATGACATAACTCCTAGCAAATTCATGGCACTTTTCCTTGCAGTGAATAAGTCTTCTCTCCATCCAGAAATTTCACCCTGATACAATGCTTATCCATAATGTCTGGGAAATTGAAAATTGAACTAAAATAGAAAAGTAATTTGACTACATTCTAGAAATTGTTAGAAAGGATTTAATGATACTAACAAGATCAGAAGGGAAGTTCTTCCGTATATACTCATCCATGTCGTCGTTCCATTCAGATACATCCTTTACAATTTACCACAAACAAATAAATAAAAGTCAAATTTCCATGTCAATCTATTTCTGACAAATAGAAATGGCAAACTTAATGGTGAAGATTTACAAAACAATCTGTTGATATGTATAAAACATATTTATCACACCCTTTTTTTTTTAGAATGTTAAACTTTATATTTATCACACCCTTAATGTTCATGTATACACTACTTTCAGAAGGAAGTTCTAAACATGTGGAGGAAGAGAACAATGTCACAAACACAAGATATGTGGAACATTTAAGAATACATTGATAGTTTATGGATTAGTGGATCTACCATTAGGTTGCCATAGAAATGCAATGAGCTCCCCTGAGGTTGGATGCTTTCCAAATCTCTAATGACTGTGAGGATCAATCTACTTATTGAAGCAGTCAGACTAAAAGTAAATGATGCTAGTTTACATGAACTCTCAAATGGGGCCCCTGACCTTCCTGCTTTGAAATTATAAGCTGATAAAGGAATGGTAGGGACAATCTTATGGGGTTTAAGGCTTGACATGATTGTACTATTCTAAGAAACTTAAAAATGTGCCAGCGATAATGGAGGGAACAGATTTCTGAGTTGTAGTAAAGGAAGGGAGATCTCATTAGAAGACTGGATGAAACAGGTTAATTTGAGATGGAACTTGATGACTCAAATGTTTCACAAACGCCAGTGAATTTTTTATCCCACAACCAGAGTGGAAATTATTCAACATCTAATTCTTTTAGAAGTATAGAACAAGTGAAATCTATTCACTGCATATAAGATCTGCATTTTTAGAGGCTTTCCTCTTTTGAAGTTCATGTTAAGCAACTATGTTGATTAGAAACAAAGGGCAGTAACGACAAAGTCTACAAGTTAAAGTGTTTTTGATCTCACAGCCAGAGTCGAAATAATTCAACAGCTAATTCTTTTAGAAGCATAGAACAAGTGAAATTTATTCACTGCATGCAAGATCTGCATTTTTAGTGGCATTCCTCTTTCAAAATTCATGCTAAACAACTAAATTGATTAGAAGAAAAAGGCAGTAAAGACAAAATCTACAGGTTGAAGAAAGCCGTATAAGATGAAGTAGGGAACTGGTCCTGCCCATTCCAGTCACATGCACTTGTTTAAATCCCATTCCAGTCGCATGCACTTGTTTAAATACAATTTAAAATCTTCAAAATGTGCTTCACCCATCAAAAACTAGAAAGAGAAATGTATGAGAAAAGAAATAAATGAACTTACAGCCTCGCTAATTAACATTGCAGGAAAAATTGCAGACTCCAGCAAAAAAGAGAAATGGGGGGAAACTATTCTCCATCCCTGAAAATATTTTTAGGCCGGATAAAAACATTAGAGGGAGAAATATGGACAGCTAACCAAATTTGACTACATTCAAGGTGAACAAAAACCAAATAAATAGATCTACTCAAGGGAGCAAAAAGTTTTGAATCTTCTGATGAATCCTCTAGGCTTAAAACCTAGATGCAATAAATCAACATGCATCATAATTCTCCACTATAGTCTGACAAAGCTATAATTCCTTAAATAAATCTATCAGTCAAGCTTTTTCAGAATGCTCCAGCCCAGATAGAGTCTACCCTATGATTTGGTGAGGCAGAGAATAAGGAAATAGAAGAGATCATCTAATGCAATTAGAACTGTTTGAGATATCTCTGGCTCATCTCTTTTGCACTCAGTCAGTAGTGGAGATTTCTGAAGAGAACTGATCAACACGAAACAAATCTTACTGGGCCTGTTTCAAGAATATGTGAAATGACATCAAAGGACATCGCCATAACCCGCTCTGCTAGGTGATCCAGCTCCTACATTAGCAAATAGTGACAAGGATGGAATAAGCATTAGGCAAGCAGACATACCATAGAATAAGAGAGCTACACTTGACCACACCAGGACAATATTCGGAGGACAAACAATGAATAGAAGATAGAAGACCATCAAAAGCTACATCTCAGTTGGAATCTAACAAGTTAAATGTTTAAAGGAACAAAATTCCAGGATGAAAACCTCTAATCATTAAGAGTAGAAGGTTTATCAGATACCACCGCTATGGGCTAGAGGGGAACTAAGAGAAAAAGTAAAGTGACCGATTCTAAGGAACTTACACTAATAATATGACTCTGGTTGACCAGTTTTAGAACAGATTCAACAATTCTTGGCATTAACCTGAGATTGAGACAATAAACTGTTAGAAATCAATTACTTGCACCAAAGGTGTAAGAAAAATACAATGATGTGAGATTGAGTCATTTAATTTACTTGTCAGCATGCTTACGGTGCCGTGTGACTAAAGCACAAACAATCTGCAAACACCTCTTCCCAATCTTCATCCTTACAACCCACCAATCTTCTGATGTTGGTCCACGCAAATTTAAGGAGTCCAAGAGACCAAGGAGGTCGCCACACCATGAAGCTAAAAGAGGAACCAAAGCGGATGGCATATGCGATTTCACCTACATCAATAACTTGAGTTAATTCTAGTTCATGAAAGGATCAGTACATTTGTAGGCAATAATCTATATATAATGATATAAATACGTTTCAAAAAATAGAATAAAAGTCATATACACATATATATGAAAAGAAATTGCATGTCACAATTTTATAAATGCTAAATTGTAAAAATGTCAAGTAGGATTCCAAAGGCAAGCAATGGAAAAACAAAGCATGCATATTATGATCATAAGTCACAACTTCATGGGATTTGGTATTGGTACCCCATATTTAATAACCTATATCATACCATAAGGAAAATATTTGGCATAAGAACATATACTTTAAGAAACCTTTTCATCCATAATATTACCATGACTGTACTTATTATACTATTTATACTTATAATAGTTCAGGTCCAGCCACATTGATGAAAGAGCAAATGGGACATGATAGAAAACTTACAGCAAAGTAAATACATTTACTAAGAATGTACAGGATTCTCTCGGCCTCCAGATTCACCTCATCTTGAAACAATAGAACCTATAATATTCATCTTGAAAAGTTTAGGCAGTATGCTATGATCCAACTTGATTCCATTCAAAGCACAAAAGAACTCATCAAAAGACAACATACCTGACCTGCTCTGTGAAATGGTGAAATATCACATACAGAGGTGAAAGAATTTCTTTTGCAATGAGCTCCAACTGTTGAGGGATGGGCTCCCTTTTAAGCTGTGGGTTCATGAAATACTGCAACCATCCATAATCCATTAGTCATGGTACACATGTACTAATAGGATGTGACTCAAGGCTCTGTCAGGTAAATATGAGAATTGTCAGAAGTTCTAGGGACCAACCATAAATCCAGAGAAAGGAAAAAAAAATCATGAGGTCCAAATAATCTAATGTCTTTTTTCTCTAGTCTCGACAAAAACCAAATTTACACTACATCTGCAAGACAGAGCAAGTGAAACAAAGAAAAGAAAAACACGCCGATAACACATTAGACCCAACAATGTGTTCGCGAACAAGATGCCGAGTCAACATCATAGTTTTGAAAGAGATTTTTCCTATTATCAAAAATAATCAATCAGCAAATATGACTTAAATGAAACCCATGGAAAAAGGTATTATAGATGAAATAAAAATGAATGCTCCAATCAACAATAAAATATTATTTTATAAGCAGAATTTGTATCTCCTACAGGACCCACATATCCAAGTCCAGCTCCAGCGCAGTTAATTGGTTACAAAAAACAATAGAGCGAACAGGATAAAACACAATGTAGATATTCTTGTCAGCAATGAATGAAAGTCGTCCGCCTGACTGCCTAGGCGGACTTTTGAAAAAAACACCTAGGCATATTAAAGGCGGACACAATTAGGCAGGCAGAACTAAGCGCTCACCTAGGTGGTTGAAAAGGCGGGAAAAGGCGTCCTGCACAATTTTGGCAGAAAACAAATTCGGGAGGGGCAAAAATGTCATTTTACCCCCTTAAAAGGGGGAATAAGGGTTTGAGGGGCCATTCTTAGTCCCAAAAACAATTTTAGTGAACTTTAAAGTGAGAAACAACTTGAAAAAAACTAAATTTGAAGATTTTTTGAGAGATTGAAATTTTTTTCGAAATCCTCGAATGGTCACGATATTAAAGGATATTCATCGCCAATCTTTTTTAGGCTTATAAGATTGTAAAAGAGGAGATTTAGATCTAAAACAATTTGGTATTGCCCCAAAATCGAGTCCACTTCAAGAAGGTTGGTATATAACAATAATTTTCATTAGGTTTTGTATTTTTTCCGCTTAATGTCTAATGATGTTATTATCTGCTATTTGTATTTTTTCTTTGATACTTTGTGATATATATTTGATACGTTATTATCTATTTGGATTATTATTTTATTAGTTAGTTTAATAATTGCTTAATTCTTGTGACTTGTGAGTGACTTGTGATTTGTGAGATTTAAATGACATCTCAAGTTGATTTTATCTTTTAATGTTGCTTTGAGTTATAATTATTTCATTTACAGTCTAAAGTTGTAAATGTTTAGGTTTGATCTGTGCTTCCGGCATCTTAACAATATATTATATACAAAATTTACTTATTAAATAATAAAACAGACAATTCTATATACAATAAAGTGGGGGGAGGTGTGGGGCATCCAAATTAAAAAAAAAAAAAACACTGGCCGCCTTTGGGCTTGGGCGCCCGCCTAGGCGGCCCAGTCCCCCCCCCCTCCCCACTGCCCAGGCGGCTGCCTGACTTATTGAACATTGCTTATCAGTAAGTTATAACACCATCCTAGAGGCCAAAGGAAAAACTAGAATCATAAGCCACATAAGCATTATTCATAAACAAGCCCAAGTTGGAAAAGTGAAATAAATAACCCATGTTTGGCCATAGTCACCAAATCTTCAAGTATACATTGATACAAATTGGTGAATATTTGCTACCAATTTTATATCATATATGTTTGTTGACAGCAGCTAGAAATGAAAGATTCAACAACACATTTGGTTCTATCAAATTTTGTATTGAGGGTTTTGATGAATAACAGACAAATTAATAATTGGGTTGGATTTTTGCCATTCATTTTTTGTCAAATGATTAATAAGGCCATTGCAAGCATTTCAAAAGCTTCCCAACCACAACCTCGCCTTTCCTCCCACCCAACCTCTAGCATTCGCCAACCTTACCATCCACAACCTAGCCTTTTGGGGAAACCTTGTTGTCAACCTTAACCACCAAAAAGAAAAAAAATCCTTCTATTTCCATAGACCGTCCCTCTACCTATTTCAGACCTCACCAAATGAATGTCAAATCATGGTGATCCAAGCAAGCAGTACCTCACTCCATGACCAGGCTTGAAATTTCTCAAGCAAACATCCAGTCAACTCCACTCACCACATACCCTCCTCTCTATTCTTGACCACAGTCCCTTCCTCCCATTCCCTAATTCAGAAGACAAAATGTCCCCCACGTAAATTAGAGTTCGAGAGAGAAATATGATTGACATGCTATAAGATTTGCATTACCAAGGTTTACTTAACTTGAAATCAATTTGGTCATGCATGTCACAATCCCTATTGAGATTGCCCATCAGAGAGTCAGAGACATTAAATCACATCACAGAACATAAAAAATGATAACTGACCTGGAATGGTTTAATAGTAGCTTGAAGAACAGTAAGGCTGTTTATGGTCTTCCACTGCATATTTGCAGCTCTCCCAATAAGATCGCTGGTTTGAATAGCAGACCTCAATTCAGGTACAAGTTCAGGCCAGGAATTATCTTTGACAAAGTCTCTGGTGATAATTAGACGATACTGCTTACATAGAGAGTGAACGTCAAAAGATCCCATCAAAATTCAAAGAGAGAGCTTGTGTACAACCAAAACAAAAGACTGGAAACATATTGATAACAGATGTTCAGCAAGAACTTTCAATAGTCGATGCACCAAAGAATATTCCAGTAATGAAAACAAACATACATGAAAAGCCAAAAATCAAAAATGATAATACTAAAGGCTTAATTGACCCATATAAATAAGAACAGTAACAATTTGAGCATAACCAATGAGAAATGTCTGGAATAGGGTAAACAAGAAAAGTTTGGTAAAATTGAGCTCCAAACAGAAATGACTTTCACAATTAATGCACAAGATAACTAAATTTGAACAGAAAAGTAAAATCCCTACAAAACGACATCTTAGACAAAAAATGAGACACAATATCTTGTCCAGTTCAACCTGCATGAATGCTAGAAGAATTCAGACCTAATTATTGTGTTCCTTTGTTTTGGGAAGCTAGCAGAATTTTCATGTCATGTGAGTTTTATGTGATGAAAGTATGCAACCAACAAAGATGATATTAATGATAAAGGCTGGTAACAAGATTTGGAAGGTCACTCACTATAAGATTCGTCTTAAAGTGAGGTCAAGTTTACGGAAAAATACAATTCACATGAAGTGACAGGTTAATTCTTATTAGTGAAGTGAGGAACCCAATTCCCATATGCATTTGGTTGAATGCTGAAACACACCTCAACAAATATTCATGTGATGAATCACACAGATGAGCCATAAGATGGTAAATAAATTCAAAAGCTATAAAAAGAAATATATCAATAATTGTAGAGTGATATATCTATATAAATCATTTTCTTGAACTAGTGGAAATTGAAATAATGCCTATCATGCATGAAATGATAAAGAAAAGGAGGACTACAAAGTAGACCATGAGAAATGCTCAAGTCTCACTTGCTTTCATACAATAATCATATGGCAAATCCACAAAAAGTATCATCTTCAAGAGTTCATGAAGATGGGTCTACATATTCAAAATTCTTGAGAGATAAAACCATCATAAAATTAAACACCGATTATAATACACATAAGCTATGTTTTATTTAGACCTAAAGTTATTGCAAGTTTAAAGTCAGTGCTGAATTTAACTTACTCTAATGGAATCAAATATGTTACACATGATCATCCTACGCAGGAAAATACATACCGCTTCAACTAAGACACTGAGCAGTCTTGGTTCAACTTGAAGTAAGACCTGCACAAGGGAATTTCTGACTTGTTGACGGACTTTTGAAAAAGAAGGATCTTCTTCATTGGCTTTGAGAAAGTTCTTCAGATAAGTTGCAGCAGCTATTTTCAAATAGAAAGTACAATCTCCTGCAAATAATCAAAAAATAAAAATAAAAAGCAAAGCACAAGTATTCTTTCTTTTCTTTTTCTTCTTTTTCTTTTTCTTTTTTCTTTTTACTGATCTGAGGTTGTTGCCAATTACATTTATAAAGATAAAAAAACTGAAGGGAAAAAATGTGAAAACTCAAGCTGATAGAGCTCTAAGGTATTTGTGGAGAATGAATTAAAGCAGGTTGGTGCACAGTTCTGCAGCTTCTGCACAAATATGTCAAAAACCAAATCACTAAGGGTTGGCATATATGAGGCAACAGAAACACTTGCACACCGATTGGGTTGTGGCACAGATGCCCCGTCTAACAAATACCAATGCCTTCCACTATGCCAGCACATACCAAGAAAGGTGCAGAGGAAATAAGTTCTAGAAAAGTTTTAAAGAAGAGAAGCATCTTGCAAATGCATGCACCTGTTCATGGGCAGAAGAATTACACTTGTCAAAGCCACTAAAACCAATATCCTGGTTACTCACATATCCCTAATTATAATACCTATGAGTGTAGTCAACAAACTCAAGGGCCTGATGAGAAACTTCCTTGTGAAATAGGACTGCAGATTTGCACGAGCTGCACTTGGTCAAGTGGGAAAAGGTGTTCCTGCATAACAAGCTTGGTGGGCTGGGCATCAGAAGCCACAAAGTATCAAACCAAGCCCTACAAGGCAAACGGATACGGGGATTAAACAGTGCATCAAGGCCATCTTTGGCGAGAGGTCATTAGGCACAAATATGGCATGGAGTGCTCAGGTTGGCTGCCGAGGAGCCATAGTGGCACAAATATTGTGAGTGGTAAGAGCATCTTAGTAGCCAACCAGAAATTCTCCTCATCCGCTTCACAGCAAGATCAGGTGATCGTATTTTTTTATGGAGAGATCTGTAGATGAACCTCAGTTTGGAATCAGAATTTATTGGGCTCCTCCAAATTACGTCACATCAAGATGCACCAATTGTTGGTGTTATCGAACTTTTGGGGAGTCAGCATGTGCGGAGAGCAACTTCTCACCGAAACTAAAACGAGGAAGCTCTTGAATTCACGGCCTTGTTAGCTGAACACAAGGACCGTTTCATCCCTCTTTACATCTAAGACAATATAACCTGGAGACACTCTCCAAAGGGCCTCTCTTTAGTCTCATCTTTTTACAGGGTCATTTCTACACTGAACCAAAACCTTCCTGACTCTAATACAAGGAGCAGCAATGGCTCTGAGAGTCGGGTCAATCCCAGCCCTATCCAAGGTCCAGGTATTTGGGTGGCTTGCAGTCTTGAGAAAGGTCCTAACACTTGATCACACCCAAAACAGAGGCCTTTCACAACCAAATCAACGCACCATGGGTAAGGAGTGAAGAGACAGTCAGGCACCTACTTATTCACTATAAGACAGTCATGAGTATTTGAGCTGAATTTTTCTGCTGGCAATGGATCACCTTTGTCTCAGTGGAGAGCCTTATACAATTGTGGCTTTCTCCCCTTCTTCCAACCATGGGACTACTCCTCTGGAAGACGACAATCCTAGACATGATTTGGTCCATATTGCTCAAACAACATCACAGAATTTTCAAGGGGAGCTATCTTTGAGGAACAACCATCAGCAGTCAAATCAAAGCCTCCATTATTTATTGAGCCCTCCCTTGTGAGGATTTTAGCCTATATTATGCAGTTTCAAGACGGGCCTTCTTACACAATTGGAACAGGTTGTCATGTCCTTGTTCAATCATCTTCCCCTCCAACCTGCCCCCCCAATATCTTGTCACTAGTTGCCCATATCCAATGGGACTGTCAAACTAAACTTTGATGGCACTTCTATGGGTAATCTGAAGTAGGAAGGGGCGGGAGATACTTTTTTTAAATCACCGAAAAGAAACACTTTTCACATATTCAGGGCTGACAGACACGAGCTCTCCTCACTGATCTCCAATTATTCAACACAAATTGGGGCATCAATCTCTCTCTCTCACACCCACGTTTTCCCCTTTAGACTTTAGAACCTTAGGCACTGAAGCCACTCTAAAGAGCTTGACAAGGGAAGGGAGTTGGAATCCCATGGTGCATGTAAGTAGGATCTTCCCCATGCTTTCATGCCTTGTGTGATGCATGTTCAATCTATTGCTAAAGTATGAAATTGATTTGTTTTTTTTAGTGATGCATACTTGATTTGTTGGTAAGAACATGAAATTGAAGTGTGATTATACATATGCTTGTGAAAATGGGGGTGGAGTTATGTTGTCTAAATTTGATTAAGAATTCCTGCAATTTTCCAGAATCTATTCTCTGTAAATTGCACTTTTCACGGACTTTTATATGTCCAAATGAGTTCAAATTTGCTTGAAATGAAAGATGGGTGAATTCTCTTCAATTGTTCTTAAGGTTGCAAAGTGAGATTCCTTATGAATTGGGACATAGGCTACATTTTCCAAAAGAGTGTCACCTGAAATTCTGAGATCTTCAAGAAAACCACACTCTTTGTACATTGCAACTTTCACGGACTTTTATGTGTCCAAATGAGTTCAAATGAAAGATGGGTGAGTTCTCTTCAATTGTTCTTACGGTTGCAGAGTGAGATTCTTTATGAATTGGGAGATAGGCTACATTTTTCAAAAGAGTGTCACCTGAAATTCTGAGATTTTCCATAAAACCACACTCTCTGTACATTGCACTTTTCACCGACTTTTATATGTCCAAATGAGTTCAAATTTGATTCAAATGAAAGACGGGTGAGTTCTCTTCAATTGTTCTTATGGTTGCAGAGCGATATTCTTTATGAATTGGGAAATAGGCTACATTTTTCAAAAGAGTGTCACCTGAAATTCTGAGATTTTCCAGAAAACCACACTCTCTGTGTATTGCACTTTTCACCAACTTTTATATGTCCAAATGAGTTCAAATTTAATTCAAATGAAAGATAGGTGAGTCCTCGTCAAGGTAGCTTTCGGTTGTAGAGTGAAATTCTTCATGGTTTGAGATTTATGTCACTGATATGATATATGTAATATGATATGTGATAAGTGATATGTGATAAATATTATGATTTCATATGTGAGCATGGACTTGCCACATAATGTGTTATAATGTGTAAGCATAATATGATATAATGTGTAAGCATGATGAGATATGATGTGTGAGCATGGACTTGCCATACGATGTGTGATATAATGTGTAATCATAATGTGATAAGACATGTTTATAAACTAGTTAATGTGCATGGTTGTGCTTGTGATGCACTGAGCTAGTGAGTGCTTATGAAATAGTGAATGTTTATGAAATATTGAATGTGCATGTTGTAATAGGACATGCTTATAAAATGAAAGCATGCCCTGGAATGAAAGTACGATCTGAAATGTGTATGTGCTACGTGATAAGGGGTACTATGCAATGGGTGTCCCATTGCATGGTGCCTCATATCACATACCATACCACATCGCATCACACTATGCAATGGGACACCCATTGCATAGTGCCCCTTATCTCATAGCACATACACATTTCAGATCATACTTTCATTCCAGGGCATACTTTCATTTCATAAGCATGTCCTATTACAACATGCACATTCAATATTTCATAAATATTCACTATTTCATAAGCACTCACTAGCTCATAAGCATGCCTTATCGCAATTATGCACATTTAATATTTTATAAAGATTCACTGTTTCATAAACATTCATTGCATCACAAGCACATCTTAATACAACCATGCACATTTACTAGTTCATAAACATGTCTTATCACATTATGATTACACATTATATCACACATCGTGCGACAAGTCCATGCTCACACATCATATCTCATCATGCTTACACATTATATCATATTATGCTTACACATTATATCACATTATGTGGCAAGTCCATGCTCACATATGAAATCACAGTACTTATCACATAGCACTTATCACATATCACATTACATATATCATATCAGTGGCATAAATCTCAAACCATGAAGAATTTCACTCTACAACCAAAAGCAACCTTGAAGAGGACACACCTATCTTTCATTTGAATCAAATTTGAACTCATTTGGACATATAAAAGTCGGTGAAAAGTGTCATGCATAAAGAGTGTGGTTTTCTGGAAAATCTAATAATTTCAAGTGACACTCTTTTGGAAAATGTAGCATATCTCCCAATTCATAAAGAGTCTCACTCTACAACCTTAAGAACAATTGAAGAGAAATCACCCATCTTTCATTTGAATCAAATTTGAACTCATTTGGACATATAAAATTCGGTGAAAAGTGCAATGTACAGAGTGTAGTTTTCAAGAAAATCTCAGAATTTCAGGTGACACTCTTTTGGAAAATATAGCCTATCTCCCAATTCATAAAGAAATCTCACTCTGCAACCTTAAGAACAATTGAAGAGAACTCACCCATCTTTCATTTGAATCAAATTTGAACTCATTTGGACATATAAAAGTCGGTGAAAAGTGCAATGCACAGAGAGTGTGGTTTTCTGGAAAATCTCATAATTTCAGGGGACACTTTTTTGGAAATATGTAGCCTATCTCCCAATTCATAAAGAATCTCACTCTGCAACCTTAAGAACAATTGAATCAAATTTGAACCCATTTGGGCATATAAAATTCGGTGAAAGTTGCAATGTACAGAGAGTGTGGTTTTTTGGAAAATCTCAGAATTTCAGTGACACTCTTTTGGAAAATGTAGGCTATCTCCCAATTCATAAAGAATCTCACCCTGCAACCTTAAGAACAATTGAAGAGAACTCACCCATCTTTCATTTGAATCAAATTTGAATGCATTTGGACACATAAAAGTCGGTGAAAATTGCAATTTACTGAAAATACAGATTTATGAAAAATTGCAAGAATTCTTAACCAAATTTAGACAACATAACTCCACCCCCATTTTCACAAGCATATGCATAATCACACTTCAATTTCATGTTCTTACCAATAAATCAAGCATGTATCACTAAAAAAAACAAATCAATTTCATACTTTAGCAATAGATTGAACATACATCACACAAGGCATGAAAGCATGGGGAATATCCTACTTACATGCACCATGGGATTCCAACTCCCTTCCCTTATCAAGCTCTTTAGAGTGGCTTCAGTGCCTAAGGTTCTAAAGTCTAAAAGGCAAAACGTGGGTGAGAGAGAGAGAGAGAGCAAAAAGTGGATGAGCTGGGGGAGGGCCTCATATAAATTAAGGGGGAAGAGAGAGAGAGGGCTGCATGCAAGTCTAAGTGGCTTGCATGCAAAAAGAAAGAGAGAGAAAGTGGCAACATGCATGAGCTGATGTGGCACACATGCATGGGGTAAGGTGGCAATGAGGTGGAACACATGGGTGAGGTGACATCACATGGGTGAGGAAAAGAAGGGGTAGAAAAAGAAGAGGAAGTCCCCCCCTAGACCACCCTATTCAACCGCACACCTCGGTAAAACGTTATGCATGGCAGCTGGACAGAACACGCGTGGCGGCAATAAAACATACACAGTGGTCACGGCGGTCAGGAATTTACACACACAGAGAGGTCAAGAATTACGCACACAGCTGTCATGCAAGAATTACACACACGATGGTTAAGAATTCCATGCAGAAGAGTATGGCCCTTAAAAGTGGAATGTTGAGAGGCAAATTTTTAGCCAACAACCTACCAAAGTAAGTGTATCCCACAAATAAATGTTTGTCGTTTCATCCCTTATAATTCCCCCTGTTTCAAATCATTCCTATTGTATTTTATATAAACCCAACACCCATTTTTTTTATTAATTAGTATGAATATTATGTACAAACAACATAAAAACTGGAGGAAGATACTACTTAACCAAATGGAATCATTTTCTTCTAACCAAATCGGACTACATTCCTTTTCTCGCATGAAAAAGAATCTGAAACTTTAAAATATGTGTTGTAAAAATGTAACAACAGCAGCAACAACAATAAAAGTTATTATATTTCTTTGGGTACTATATTGAAGGACTTAAAGTCTATTTTTCTTACACGTAAAAAGGAGATTCAATTCTTAATGCCACAGTACATAAACAGATCACTGCCGCATTACCATAGATCAAGCCCTACAAACTTTGAAACATTACTCAATTTCCTAATAAAAAACAAAAGCAAATGTAAAATGGCAGTGTAGAAATGGAATAAATATTAGGGGCCCAAATCCCCACTGACTTACCCTCACTAACCCAATAAAAAGATGGAATAAATATGGAAATACAGCAAATAAAGCACGATATATCAAAAATACACCACTTAGTGATACATCCTCGGGAAAAAATAAACCTAGTTTAAATACGTTTGTGTTAAGAAATTTTTGAAAATAGGAAAGGAAAATATGTTGCAGTGAATTAATATTCAATGGCATATAAGGCCTATATGAAAATTGATATCAATAAATAAATAAAGAAGTCTGAAAAAAGTAATGGGGTGAGGAGATGGAGAATTACCGGTGATGATTGAGATGAGAGAGAGGGGGAAGGAAGGGTGAGAAGATAAGTGCTTTAGGGTTTCTGTAGCCAGGGAGACGAGGGTCGTGTCTGGACCCATCGTCTCTCTCAGTCTAGTTGCGATCTCGTTAATGGAGGCCTCCATCTCTCTCCCTATCTCTAAGGCGCAAATGCGCAAATGTTTAGAGAGAAGATTGAAAAATAAAACGCGCCAAAACCTTGGCGTGAGGTTTTAGTGAACCAGAAGGGAAAAGACTTTCCCGCGTGAGAGATTTATAACAAGGAAAACTTTTAGGTGAAATTACGAAAAAAACCCCTACAATGACCTATGCAACTTACCCCATCCAAACCTTTTGCTCTCACTTTTTTTGCCCCCAATGAATTTTCGTGTAAAAACACCCCCAAGATAAAAACCATTTTTAAACGAAAACACCTTTCTCGTACAAAAGAAATCAATTGGTGCTGACTATCGAACCCAACTAGCACATTGCCAGAGTGCAGCATGCAATTGTTGGAGCGTATTGCCTAGAACATATACTGCTAGAGCGCCTTCGAATATTGCCGGAGCACTGTGACTCCAGGACAAGTACTGCCGGAGCGCCCTATTCAACTGTCAGAGTGCCTCGTCTCCAAAATAAGCATTGCCGAAGCACGTTTTACAAATGACGGACCCTTGTCGTCTCCATAACATGCACTGCCAAAGCATATGTGTGTCGAGTGCCAGAGCGTTGTCTTGAGCGCCGGAGTGCCCTATGCAACTGTGGGAGCGTTGTGGCTCCAGAGCATGTATTGCTAGAGCGCCCTCGCATTGTCACCATAACGTGTACTGTCGGAGCGCCTTCCGCTGTTGCCGAACCGCTCGGTCTTCAGTGCTAGAGCACCCTTTGCAACTGCCGGAGCACTGTAGCTCTAGAACATGTATTGTCAGAGTGCCCTTTGAGACTACCGGAGCGCATTGTGTACTGCCGTGGCGAAATTGATTTTTTTTGTACGTGAAGGGTATTTTCGTAAAAAAAATGAACTTTTTTGGATGGGGGGTATTTGCATAGAAAGCATACTTTTGGGAAAAAAATGAGAGAATAAGTTCCGTTGACGGTAAGTTGCATAGTAAGTGTAATATTGGGGGTTTTTTGTAATTTTCCTCAAAACTTTCACTGGAAGTGGTTGTTTTGATGCCAAAATATCATCAAAGATATCATCTCAACATCAAGGTGCATGGACATGAGAAGAAAAAAATTTTAATTTTTAAAAAATATTGCATCTTGTAATGCGTTTTTTTATCGTCAATTTTCAAGTTTTCATAAATCTGCTCGATCTACACTATTTTTTAACCTTTAAGTTTTATAACTAAATACGAAAATACAATTTAAGTCTATCACAAAACTTTCCAATATTAAAACCATATTTCTCGATACTATTTGAAGGTAGGTTCCAATTTGATTGTTTAGAGCCTCAGCTCTATACAAACCGCACACTCAAAATAAAAGGGGGAAAAGTTTATACAGAGCCTAGCTCTGAACAATCAAATTAGAACTTACCTCAAAACTTTCGCAAGGTCGTTTTGATGCCCAAATATCATCAAATTGATCATCTCGACATCAAGATGCATGGACATGAAAAAAAATGTATTTCAAGTTTTGGAAATAGTGCATATTGTAACATATTTTTTTATCATCAATTTTCAAGATTTTCAAGTTTTCGTAGATCTACTCGATTTACAGTATTTTTTAAGCTTTAAATTTTAAAACGAAATATGAATATATAATTTAAGGCTATCACAAAACTTTCCAATATTAAAACCAAATTTCTCGATACTATTTGAAGGTATGCTCTAATTTGATTATTTAGAGTCTCGGCTCTGTACAAACCTCACCCACAAAATATATATATGAATAATCAAAAGTTTTGTATATTTTATGGCAGGAAAAGTATTTGGTAAGTCAGCCGAGTCACAATACTTTAGTGCGATCTCTATAAAAAATATATATGTCAAATATGTATTTTCGATTCAATACTCAAGGCCATGACAATGACTTAAATCTAGATATATTTTGTTTCAAAATAGATAAATATTATTTATTGAAATTCTTTCTTCACCATCTCTTTTAGTGGATGTAACCTTTTTCGGAAAAGTTTATATAGAGCCGAGGCTCTAAACAGTAAAATTTGAGCCTACCTGAAAAATTTCACTAGAAGAGGTTGTTTTGATGCCAATATATCATCAAATTGATCATTTCAAAATCAAGATGCATAGACATGAGAAAAAGATGGATTTAAAGTTTTGAAAATAGTGTATTTTGTAACATGTTTATGGACGGTCAATTTTCAAGATTTGAAAGTTTTTATGGATCTATCGATCTACACCATTTTTTAAGCTTTAAACTTTATAAATAAAAATGAAAATATATTTGAAGGTTATCACAATGATTTCCAATATTGAAACCATATTTTCCGACACTATTTGAAGGTAGGCTCGAATTTGATTGTTTAGAACCTAGGCTCTATACAAACCACACCCAACATTTTTTGATATCAAATGGTTGTTAGATTGACAAGGGGCTGCACAGTAGTGGATGAATGCACTAACTCACTAAAACCGTGTCCATTCATCTTATGAAAGATTAAAAAGTTGTATATGGTTTCTGTTTGGGTGCAGTTTGCATGAGGTTGCCACCTTGGTAAGGCGCACTTTCAAATATTATTATAATATGTAATTTTAATATTAAAAATTTATAAGATGGCCTAAAAATTGAAATTCTATTATTATCTCTAATTATAAGAGTTTAAACTTCAAAAGCAGTTCAAATCAAATATTTGCATACGAAAATCTTGACAATGAATGATTCAGATAATGTGTTGTAAGATGTACCATATTTTAGACTCAAATTTATTTATTTTTCATTACCATACATCTCGATGTTAAGATAATCAATTAGAGGTTTTTCAAATGTCAAAACTGTATATTCTTATGGATTTTTAAGGTGCACTTGATTCTATATTTTAAGGTCGCAATTTTATATAAATTATTTCCTTTGTTTTGCATTCATGTCCCACTTTTTGTGATATTTTAATTTTATTTCATTTTCTCCATGAGCTCAATTTGGGGAGTTAATTTTACAAAATAAAACTGTTTTTTATTTTATTTTAAAATACTCACGTGTATTTCATATTTTACACTTAAATCTCACTTTTTTAGAGCATAAAATCTATTTTAATTTTGGACATGGTATTTATGAGTGCTAGGACTGATATGTATATATGAATCCCCAATTCATGATTATGTTTGAGATGGATTTTGGATCTAGTTTTTTAGGTACATAAAATCTATAACATAACTATACTTTGTTGGCCCTTATGCCAGCCATTATGGTCCTATATGCCCGAGTAAAGGAAGAGGGTTTATTGGGTATGCAACCAACAAATATGGGGATTCACGGTTTCACTACGGATATGACCATTAATAAGCATACTGACATACCAGGGTCGTGTAGCTGACCCTAATTAATTGAAAAAGCTTTGACAACGATGATACCTTACTCTAAACCTTGAAGGTCGCAATATGTCATAACTAACCATTGTGGACCTTCGAGGCCCAAAATTAGTTTTGCTTATATAAATTCTGAAATTTAATTTTTTACGCATGCACCATTTTTAGCCATCAGAGAATTAAATGACGCAGCAATGATATTGTAGGAGATAGAAGGTATTAATTGCTCCAAGTCCTTGAAACAAATTGGGACCTCTAAGGCCCGAAATTGATTTATATGAACTGAAAAAGCTTTGCGCTTTCAAAGTCTTAAACTTAAAAAGTTGAAAGAAGGGGCGAACTGGAAAAACTAATTTTTTTTGGAAAAACACAAGCATGATAAGGACGACTTAGGAGGGGAATCATGAAAATTTACCAAATTATCTATAATATATCCTCTATTACCATTTAATCGGATTTCAAAATACCCAAAACAAACATGATATTGAGTTGGAACAGTGGTTCTTTTACGAGTAGTTTTAAATAATCCATCTCTCAAATATTTTAGTAACTTCTATTATTTTTAAGTTGGATATGGCCACTCACCAAAACATTTGCATCTTCTAGTGCATCAAACGTCCATCTTACTGATTGATGTCAAAAAATGGTGCTTCCACTATACCTCAAAATTCCATGATATGATTTTTATTTTTCTAAAATTAAAATTCCGAATTCATGATAACCATGACAATTGACATTAAAAAATCTAAAAAATTTGGATCCAAAATTTATCTGAAACATAAAATTTGAAGGGGGCAGCATATACCGAGAGTCTCGTTTGCCAAACACTTGTCTTTCTAAATCAAGGTGTGGTTTGTATAATAAGGTTGACGTTCTAAACAATCAAAGATACACACTAAAGATGATTTTTCAATCGAAATTTTTATTGTTATTAACTGAAAATTATTTTTATTTTTAATTATAAAATTTAAAGTTTAAAAAATAGTGTAGATAAAGCAAAATGTAGAAAACACCTAAAAATATTAAACAAATTGATGGCTTAGCTAGTGCATTACAAAATGCATTATTTTTTAAACTTTAAATCTATTTTTTATTTTTTTCGCATTGAGATGATCGAAACAACCTATATTTCTAACTATTTTTTCAGGTACTTTAGAGCCTCAAGCTTATATAAATTGTTTTCCTTTAAATAAGTAATGGAGGACCAGGGGGACATGCGTTAAAGTTAAAAAGTTGAACTCTTGTGTTCTGCTACCGGGAGTGTGTAGAAGTAGGAGATGCAGTGGTACCTGGTTGCCGGCCTCCTCACGCTTCTAACCAGTTCACAGGTCTCTCTCTCTCTCTCTCTCTCTCTCTCTCTCTCTCTAGTACTCCAAACCCCTCACAAAATCCCAATCCTGGTTTTGCTACTGGCGATGTCGTAAACCTTTAGAAGATTATGGATTTAACTTCGGTGATCTTAATGTGAATTAGTGCTGTTTCAGTGATGGACAAACATATAACATTTTCGTGATTTTCTGCTCCCCTTAGGTTTTTAAATGAGATCATAGGTCAAGGATCGTTCTCTTTTTTTGTGAACTTCTTGGATTTCTTTTACATTCAAGAGTCTAACTGTAAAATTCCGTGGAAATGGGGGATTTTAGGGTTTTAATGGGGTCGTAAATTTGGGGTTAATGTATATCGAAACTAGGGAGTTAAATGTGAATGTTGGTATTTTTGTTACTGCGATTTGATTGACTGCAAATTCTTCATTTCTGAACCTTCCAAATCACATTGCATACTCTTGAAGCATCATTTATTTCCTTCGTTCATATTTTTCTTTAATACATTGGCAACGAAAGATGCGAGAAAAGTTCATGATTGGGTTTATGTAGATAAAAGTTCAGGAACTCTTGGATTTGAAAATTCGTGTCTGACATTCCTTTACATAATAGGAAAGGTGGAATAACGATGTATTAAAGTGGAGCTTTAATGGATTGAATGCCTACAAATGTGGCCTTTTTTTTTTGTGCTTAATGTGATTTGTCATTATATTTTGTATCCTTTTTCCTCTGTTCATTTAAAGCAAAATATTTATATATTTTTCTTTTGCAATTGGTTATTTCTGTTTCAGCACGTGGTTGGAGTTTGAATTTAACAGTTTCACATGAAAACATTGTAGGAAATGTAACATTGGCAGTACGCTGAATAATGAAAAAGCTCAATCACATCGAATTGGTTGTACTTGTAAAACCATTTGTTTTTCTAATGATTATGGATCTGTTAACATTGAAAAACACAACTTATATGGAATGTTTAGCATCATTATCAAAAAAAATAAAAATGGAATGATTAGCATCTTAAGGCATCATTTTTCTTCAGCAATGTGGTTTCATCAATATAGCAAACACATTTTCGCACACAAGCATGAAATCATGTTGCAACAACTCCACGGAGCAATAAGCAGATGGTTATTTACCCAATTGGACTTTAATTTAATACTGACTATGAAATATAGAGAAATAAAGAAGAATGGGGTTGTTGTTTTCCAAGAGCTATTAGGAAAATGTGGCCATCAATTGTGGGGTCTCGACAACGACTCAAAGCTATCTCTCTGGTGTATCTTGTTATGGGTTTCAGAACTGCATAACATGAAGTCCTAGGAGCGATGCAATTGATTCTGCAAGTGCATATGGGAATTATACAGGTGTTGCTGGGCAATTCCTGATTGATTCCCTGTGATGTGACAATATTTGTTTCTATATTGTTTTACGAGTTGTTTGCCTTCCCATATGGACTATATAAGCATTTTTTGTGGGATTGTCTCTGGTATTCTTATATCCAAGAGCAATGTCAATGTTTGATTTTTCTGCAGATTCCACATTGTTTCACAAGTTTTAAAGAGTGTGCGGGTGAAACGAAGATACATATTGAATCTTTTATTTAGGTGCATTCAAATTGGATATTTATTTTGATTCAAAAATTGTTTTTAGGTCTTTTCTACATAATTTTTTAGTTCCGAAAGTCATATCTAGAATTAAAGGATGCCAGCTAATTGTCGGTTGAAAGAAAATCCAATATTTGAAGCTTTGGACTGTGGTGTTTAGTACGATAGCATGAGAGATAAGGTTTTGATATGCTATCCCTTTAACTAATTACTACCTCATATATCTACGATTTGGAAGGCATTCATATAGGTTATTTATGAAATAAGCATTTGTTTCATCTGGTGCTGACTTACCCAGGAGGTTTGTATACTTACCATGCGATTATATATCGGTTATTTATGAAGTAAGCATTTGTCTCATCCAGCGCTGACTTACCCAGGAGGTTTTTATACTTTACCATACGATTATATATTGTCCCGATGTTCACATCGACACATGTCAGTTAAACATTTCATATTGCTTGGCAGGGAATATTGACAACTCTTTCACAAAATAATCGAGGCTATAATTATGACTATGCAACTGTTCCATTTCTTGCTGAAGTCTTTAAGGTACTTCCTATTCACTTAAGTACAACAAACTACTTTCCTCGTAGATGTTTTGTTAGGTAGAGCCAAACTAATTATTTATGGATTTTTGTAATTTGTTGTGTAAAAACTACAGCTTGTGGTATCTAGTTTTCTTTTGTGGGGTGAGAACTGGGGTTCCCAACCTCCAAAGATGACTACAGACTGGAAGAGTGTGCGGTTGTTCCCTATTCCTTCCATCATATACCTAATTCACAACAATGTCCAATTTGCAACCCTTACCTATGTGGATACATCCACATATCAGATAATGGGGAATTTGAAGATTGTCACAACTGGGATACTATTCAGGTGCTTTCTTTTACCGTGAATGGATTGTGGGTTGGTCTTTCTATACTATTTGAACCTCAACCATTCATTTTCAATGTTTTATATCTCATCCATTATACATTCACTAGTTGAAACTTTTAAAACACTTTATGTCTAGTTTTCTGACTATCTATGGCCGATAGAATAATTTAATGTTAATGATGTCACCTGACATTCTAGGATATTCTTGAAGAGGAAATTATCAAATCTTCAGTGGCTGGCCATCATGCTATTGGCTGTAGGAACCACTACTAGTCAGGTAATAAGCAAAACAAATGTCATTTAATTTGACATATGTTTGGGGTGTCATATTGTTTGTCTAAAGTATCCTTGCTGGGTGCTGATTTCCTCGATAGGCTTTTTCCCCAAATTATGAACTTTATCTGTAAGTTTTATATTTGGTAATGTGCATAGTTATTTTCCCATGTCTTGTTATCTGTCTTTTGAAAATTATTCATTGGGAACAGATAGTGAATATTCATGTGGAACTGAATAGTCCTCCTTTTCATAAATCAGCTGTGATTAAGCTATTATAAAGAATATAAAACCCATGTCTCTGTTTCTGCATTTGTGCATAAAGCCACACTGACATGTTCAAATGACAAATTTTCTTTGAAACCATTTTCATATTAAGAAGAATTGATTGATACCATAAAGTACCAAACTCCCCATGCACTGGCCTCTCTATTATGAACTATATTTGTGAAAAAGTTGTCTTACGGAATACAGACATTTGATTATTTCTTCATGTCCCCCTTTCCCTTGGATATCCATGTTCAATCTTCATAATCCTTCAAAACACTTGTACAAATTACAAGACCTTCTCTATAAACCTGTCTGGGTTTTCGGATGATGCTGATAATGATTCCATATGCCGACCCCCAATAGTTGGCATAAGCTAGGATAATGATGATGACTAAGAATGACCTATGAAAAGAAGGAAATAGAAAATACTCTCATCACTGATGTTGAATCTCTAGGGAAATCTTGAGATTTCCAGCTACATTCTCATTTTCATGTTAAGAAGAATTGGCTGATACTATGAACGAGGCAAACTATTTATGCATTAGCCTCTTTATTGTAAATATGTTTGTGAAAAAGTTGTCATAAGGATTGCAGACATTTGGGCACTGTTTGATTTCCTAGCCAACTTGCAGTTTGGGCCTATTTGAAATCTCTCACCAGTGATTTGACATCAAGGGATGTATGGCTCACAAATTTTGAACTGTTTCCCAATTGTATTGGGTCGCCCAAATTGAACTTTTTGCAAAAGTACTCCAAGTTGTGCAAAAAATTAAATCTCTCTATCTCTCTCTCTCTCTCTCATACCACCATCACCATCACCACTATAGGGGAGTTTGATAACCCTGATTTTCCCACTTTTTAAGGGCTTGGGCAAATTTCACCCATTTGTTCTGGTGAAAGTTACGCAAAATATTTTACATGGGTTCCCTGCTATGGGGAAAGTTAGAGACTGCCATGATAGGTGGTCTGCGACTTTCCCCTGTGTTGGGGAAAGTTATCTTATCCCCAATGAGCATTTAATGATGCATTTAATGCTCAATTTTACAAAAAAGTGAAGTTTATTTGTTTATTTCAAAGCTTATAAGCACATCCCATGTTATATGCATTTGATCCAATATTAGCCTTGAGACCTCACCAACCCTGGGGTCTACCTATTTTGGGTAGTCCATAGGGTGCCCAATGAGTATTTAATGTTTAACTTTGCAAAAGTGAAAAAAGTGAAGTTTACTTATTTCTACTTTAAAATTAATGAACACATGGCATTTGATATTCATCTAAGTATTTATAAGCCTTTAGACCTCACTCACTGTAGGGTCTACCAATATTGGGTAGACCCTAGGGTGAGCGTTTGTTAATTTCTTTTATAAGCCTCTTCACCCCCACCCCCCCCATCTCCACCTAACCCTACCTACCTCTTTCTTTACATGACTTTCTCTCTCTCTCTCTCTCTCTCTCTCTCTCTCTTCAAAGGGCCTCCCTTAGACTCACTTTCTTGGAGCTTCCCCTCTATCCCTCTACTAGATCCTATCGTCATTGATTTACAATAATAGGAAATTGACATTTTCCTGTATGCCCCATATGAATTTGATTGCACCAATTTTCTAGTCAAGTTCTAAAAAAAGGGGAATTGACTGCTTCAAGTTTCCAGCTAAATTATCAAACTGTGAAAAGTGATTGCACTAACTTTCCCATTGTTTCCAAAACCCCAAGTATTCCTAGAGATTCTTGGTGAAATGGTAAAAAAGTTAATCAAACAGGGCCTACACCTCCACCGCTTATACCACTGCACCACACCACTACCACCATACCAACACAACCGCCTGGTCGCCACGGTTCTTCCACCACCACCACTGCCACTGCCACTGCCACTGCCACTGCCACTGCCACTGCCTAGTTGCCACCACCATCACCATCACTATACCACTTCAACCACCGCTACCACTAGCAAGCCACCACCACCACTGCCTACTTGCCATCTCCATTGTTACTGCATCGTGATCACCACTCCATCTCCTACACACCACCACACCACCACCAGCACTACCACCACAGCAGCAACACCACCACTCTATCAGGTCCACTACAATCACCACCACCATCACTTCGCCAATACCACCATTTACACCATATACCTACCATGACGCCATTACTACCAGCATGGTCATCACACCACATAATTAAAATTGTAATTCAAATCCAGGAAAATGGAGAGATTGAGGAAGATGTCGTTCACATAGAATTAGAGTTGGGTGGGAGAAGTGGAGATGTGCAACTAGAGTTTTATGTGATCGCCGCATACCAATGCAACTTGAATTTTAGTTCTATAGCACTACTGTGAGACTAGCTTTGCTTGATTGGATATAATGTTGGGCTGTCAAGAATTGACATACCCATATGATAAGTGTAGCTGAGAAGATAATGTTGAGATGAATGAGTGGCAAGATAAGATAGAATTAGGAATGAGTGCATTCGGGGGAACTTAGGAGTGACTCTAATAGGCAACAAGATGACTTAGGTGCTGGCGATATGCAGCGTAGACCTAATACAACATTGGCTAGGAGATGTGATTTGGTTCAAGTGGAAGGCTCTAAAAGGGCAAGAGGAATGCCTAAAAGGATATGGATGGAAGTAGTGAGAAAAGATTTGGGGACTTATTGGCTCACTGAGTTTATGGCCCTTGATAGAGTAGAATGGTAGAATATGATTCATGTAGCCGACAGACTCCAAATATTTGGGATAAGACTTTGATGATGATGATGGTGATGATGAACTATTAAACACCCATAGAGAGCAAATGACATTTGGCCAAATTGCTGTTTGACTAGTTACAAATCGGAGAGAGAAAAAAATAATAATAGAAAAAATCATTTGCAAACACTTTGCAAGTATATGGTTCAGGCTGCCCTTCCCCCAAGATATCCATGTTTGATCTTCAAAATCTCTCTAGATCCTTGTACCAATTACAAGACTTCGCTATAAATCTGTTTGGGTTCTCAGATGACGATGATCACGATGACAATGATGATTAAGTTGTATTTATAGAAAATAAAATGATGATTAATTAACTGTAGCTTATCATGTTTGAGTTCTGCCTGGGCATTTATCGATTGTTATGTGATTAGAAATGTGACTGTTTCTCTTCCATTAAAGCTTAATACTTATTCTCTTCTTTATGCCTGCAACCTTTTTCTTGTGAGACCGAAATAAGCATGAATCATGAAAAGAAATGGAAAATAAGCTCATTACTGATGATACTTGCTGTTGATTCTTCATGGAAATTCTGATAAATTTAACTACATGCTTATGCCTACGGGCAAGGCAATCTTCTTGTGCTGGTATTGTAACTTAAATTTTATTATATAAATGATGTAGGTGAAGGGATGTGGGGAGAGTTCATGTGATACTCTTTTTTCAGCACCAATACAAGGTTACATGCTCGGAATTTTATCTGCTTGTCTTTCGGCTCTAGCTGGTGTCTATACAGAATTTCTTATGAAAAAGAACAATGACAGTCTTTACTGGCAAAATGTGCAATTATATACGTAGGTATCCCTATCTGATTGTAATGTGTTGTATTGCCAAATCTCAGTTCCACTTTTCTGCGAGTGACTTGTATAGTGTACGGTATACCTATGTAAAAGAGCATCTGGTTCTCAATTGTGTGAATAGTTATAGTTTTCATATGCTATTAGAGTTTGAAACTGAGTTTCTAGTTTTGCTTCTTTATATACTATTCAGGTTTGGGGCAATCTTTAATATGATGCGGCTTCTTTTGGATGACATTCATTCTGGTTTTGAGAAAGGGCCATGGTGGCAGCGCCTACTCAATGGTTACACCATTACGACATGGATGGTTGTACTAAATCTGGGAACGACTGGTTTACTGGTCTCTTGGTTGATGAAATATGCAGACAACATAGTGAAGGTAATTCTTTTCTTTTTTTTTGTTAAACTCATTATTTGAACCTCTTGCAACACACCAAATTCGATTAATATTACTTTAATCAGGACATGCTGTTATCATATGCAGTTGTATGTTGCCATCATGTGATATGTACAGTCTATTCATATCTATTATTTTTCCTCTTCTGAAATCCAAAGCAAAATGAGCTGGCCAAGTGTTTTTTGAACCTCAGCAATTGTGCTTCTTGGGACAGTGATTGGCCAAGCAATATATGAAAGTAAATTTACTTATCTAGTGTCTTTCTGCCTTTTTTTGCTTGAATTGGTGCTGTCAAAGCCTTAGCAGAAGGCCAAGGGACAATCCTGGTCAGGTTGGATGATATGGGGAAAGGGAAGAAAAACAAGATAAAAGAAAATGAAGACTTCAAAGCGTTAATAAGGAACTAGGTAATGCTAAATAGTGAACGGAGGCCAGAAATCTTTTAGGGGGGGAAAGACATTGAAGGCAGGGAGAAAAATTTACAAGTTCTTGATGCATGTGGCTGAAATCTGAGAAAACTTGAATCCGAAGTGCCAGTGAGGGCATCAATCTTCCAAGGATTCTTGTGGTTCCGGAGTATCCAGCTATAGGAGAATCAAGAACGGAGAGCTCTCCCCCTTTTCCGCCCGACTATTTGGTCTTAAGAATGCTGGTTTTAAGAATGAGTGATTGCCCTTCTCCGACCTTACTGCCCAACCGGAAAGCGAATAGCTAATGCATTCGACTTATTAAAGAGGGTATATGGTCAGTCAGATTTCCTCCACCCAATCCTGAAGTTATCCTAACAATTATTGAGCAAATGTTTGGTATTACTTACCAATGATCAAACTACTATGCCCTATACTCCACAATAGTTTATGAAAACAGATCGGCCTGCAGAACCGGTTATCGGTTGGACCGATTTGGTAGTCGATTAACAAAGAAAATTAAAAAATAATTAAAAAAACTGGTGGGAATTGAATGATCTGGGGCACTCGAAAAACAAATAAGCCACCCACTGGTTCTGATATGAATAGGCCGATTCCGATCCATATCCGTTTTTTTCTAACCCTGCTTCACAACAAATTGGAGGAGCTACGGGAAGAAATATGACTCTAAATGGGACATGATTAGATACTTAAATCTATGATGGATCATGCTTATCACCTCAATTTTGAAGTGAAGCAACCATACAAGATTGTTTTCCCTGCCCTACTTGTCGGTAATTTGGATACCAAGGTAATCTAGGTGTAGTTACTGTATGACTTTTTATCAACTATTTTTGTTGCATTGAGTTGTCAAGGTTGAACATCCTGTATGTAATTTATACTTGTATATTTCACTCCAAGCAATGCAATGGATACAATCAATGACAAAATAGAAGCCCCAAACTTAAGATCATACATATGGAATTTCCTTAAATCTTAAAATAAAAGTTATCTCATAGGCATCTCATTTGTGATCCATACCCATATCAATTGAAACAGACATAAGCATGACAGCATGGATATGTAGGCACTTTGTTCAGATATAGATGGGTAAGGGTCTTTGAGAAATGCCAAATTGCTCTGTTCACTTTTTCAAATATTTATATTGTACTTTGTTGGATCATTAGTCATGCCGCTGATGAACAACCAAATGAATTACACACAAGTATTCATATCACTATACTGGCTGATCTCAGAATCCCCAAATTTAAGAAGATAGTCGACAGGTCATTTTCTTTAGCTTAAATCAACTTGAAGCTAGAGTCTTGTAGACAGCTTAGAAGCTGTTTAAGAGCTTCTAAACTTAATCAACTTGGAGCCGAAGTCTTTGGGTGTATTGCGATAGTAAGCTTGTCGGTTATCTCATAATATTTATTATCATTATTAATATCATCTATTTTCAGGTATATGCCACATCAATGGCGATGCTCTTAACAATGGTTCTATCAGTGTTTCTCTTTGATTTCAAGCCCACTCTTCAGGTGAAGACTTATTGTGCTACGACAAGTACTAGCAATGAAATATGACTAACCCAATATGCACTATTCTTCTTATCCGTGTTTGTCTTACGTGCACATCTCTTAGAGAGCGTGGACTCTCACTTTGCAGTACCTAGTAACTAATGTATTATTTTTGGGTCTTTTTTGCAGCTTCTGTTAGGTATCATTATATGTGGTATGTCCCTACACATGTATTTTGCGCCAGTTAACATGCTTGTAGAACTCCCTTTGACATCAAAAACAGTCCCAGGGACATTGAATGAGGTTGCAGTTGAAAAATTAGAAGGTTCCTAATGTAAGTTCTCGGGTTACTTTTACTGAAATAGCAATTTTGCTGTTCCATTATTTGTTATTTGTACTCTCGCAATTTTTCTGTTCATCCATTGTTTTTTACTCTCTCTCTCTCTCTCTCTCTCTCTCTCTCTCTCTCTCTCTCTCTCTCTCTCGTTCTCTCGTCTTCGTACTACGTTACTTACGTTACTTACGTTACGTTACGTTACGTTACGTTAACGTTA